GGTCTATATGACAGGGGGCAGGAAGGAGAATAAATAGGCATTTTCTAAGGATTTCATCCTCTTTTAAATTTAGTTTAAAATTTTAGACCAATTTAAATTCCTTGAAAACAAAGACTCCTATCTGATTCTTTTTCTCACCTGCACTGAGCGCTGTATTTACTGAATGAATCTGTATTTTACATGAAGCACCTGTATTTACTGAATGAATCCTTCTGTGCCAACAGTTACGAAGGCAGTCCAGCAAGACGGAGCCAAGCCTGCAGACATGAGCTCCACCCCAGAACCCCCTGCGGAGTGAGAGAACAGACTCCTGGAAGTCATCTCTGAACACCACAGTCACTCCATGGCATGCAAGCTTCTGATTTCACACACATATCACACACACACACACAATAATAATCATAAGTTTAAAATGTTTTATTTATGAAGATGGGCTCAGCAGTTAAAAGCTCTGGTAAAAAGCTGTTCTTCCAGAGGACCCAGGTCTGATTCCTACTACCCACAATGATGGCTCACCATCATCTGTAACACAAGTCCCAGGGGTCCTACACCACCTTCTGGCCTCTGGTACTACACACATATGCTGCAAATAAACCTCTATCAAAAAATAAAAGAAGGGCTAGAAAGATGGCTCTGCACTTAAGAGCATATGCTGACCTGACAGAGGACCAGGGTTCGGTTCCCAGCACCCGCTCCCAAGGACCTGTAACGCCAATTCTAGGGCACTGGGTGTCTCCAGCCTCCTTAGGCATGTGCGCTCATGTCTCACAGAGACATATACACGCACAAATTCAGAAATAATAAAAATAAATATCTTAATGCTGAAGTTTTTCATTAAAAAATAAATAAAAATGTAGACCAGCAAAATGGCTCGGTGGGTAAAGGCATTTGCCACCAAGTCTGACCCACGGCTCCAGAGTCCGTCCACACGGTGGAAGGAGAGGACTGACTTCTCCAAGTTGTCCACTCATCTCCACACACGTCATAGCACACACGTGCTCATGTGCATGTGCACACACAAAGGTATTCACTATAAATCAACATAAAATAAATTAATGAATAGACAAGTAAAAAGATAAACCATGGTTTGCGGGCATTCTGGTCTACAGAGCGAGTACCAGCACAGCCAGGACTACACGAAGAGAAACCCTGTTGTCTTGGGGCGGGGGGGAGAAGGGGGGAGAAGGTAAACCAAGTATTGTTTCCATCTGCAATCTGAGCACCTGAAAAGGAGAGGCAGGAAGACTGTTTAAGTTTGAAGCCTGGCTGGTCTACACATGAAGTTCCAGTCCATTCAGGACTACACAGAAAGATTCGTCGAAAAATAAGATAAAATAAAAAATGTTTTTTATTTATGTGTGGAAATATATATGCTTAGAAATCAGTAAGCCCTCAGTTCAATTTCCAGCACTACAAAAGTGAAAAATAAATAAATAAGTAGGTAAGTAAGGGCTGTGTATGTGTGCGCGTGTGTGTGTGTCAACCAGTAAAGTGTTTGGGGACCTAAATTCAATCCCTAGCACCTATGTGAAAATACCAAACACAGTGATGTGTGCTTGTAATTCCACCACCAGGAAGGTGGAGACAGGAGGATTTCCTGGGGCTCAACAGCCAACCAGTCTAGTCTAACTGGTAAACTCAAGCCAATGAGAGACCTTGTCTGAGGAAGGTACATGGCATCCCTCAGGACGGCATGTGAGGTCATCCTCTGTCCTCCACAACTACCATGTACCCATGTGCGTGCACCCATACACACAGGAATACAGACATACCAGATACACATGTTTTTCTAAGTAAAACAGGATTAGACGTATAGCTCAGGGACAGAGAGCTGACCTAGAGGGCTGGCCATCCCCCAATGCAGGAAAAAAACAAAAACAAAAAACATCCTAGCAGCCTAAAACTACTAACTTTGTATTACGTTAGAATGATACCTTATACATAAATCAATGCCAAAACACTTCTGTTACCCCAACGAAACAAAGTCAAACACCAAAATAAACAAATAAATAAATTATTTTCAGTTCTAAAAACACTGGCAAGATATACACATTGAATTAATCCAGGGTCTCTTCTGTAGACACAGGAGAGACCAAACACAACTCCATGGATGTGCTACCAACGTGTGGTTGAAAACTATGAGCTGAGATTTTACATCTTCTGCCGAGCTTGCTGCCAATAATACCCTAAGGGAGCCAGCAAGGCTCAGTGGGTAAAAGGCACTGCCAAGCCTGATCACTTGAGTTTGACCCTGCCAATACAAACAATGGAAGGACAAACCTCACTCCTGAAAATTATCTTCTGATCTCCACATCCACACTGTGACAGGCAGACCACAGATGTAAGCACGCACCCACACACACAAACACATTAAGTAAATGGAAGTTCTCTAGAACGAGCAGAGGTTTCATTTAGTTTAAAAAAAAAATCCCAGCCAGGAGCTGGTAGCAGGTGGATCTCTGTGAGTTCCAGGACAGCCTGGTCTACAAATCTAGTCCAGGACAGCCAAGGCTACAATACAGAGAAACCCTGTCTCCAAACGCCCCCCCCCAAAAAAAAAATTAAAATCTTACCACCAGGCAGTGGTGGCACACAACTTTAATCCCAGGACTAGGGAGGCAGAGGCAGGGGGATCTATCTCTGTGAGATAGTGAATAATTTCATTCTAGAATAGCTTCTGCTTACACTGTAACTTTGAACAAATCACATCTCAGAAGCCTCAACTACAATATCAACAAAACTGAGGAGTACCCTGGAACTATATGTGGGAAAGATGAGCTATTTTCTTAAGTTCTTTAAAAGTCAGAATTGAAAGTTAAATAATAATATTGATTTTTTTAAATGTATAATAGAGCAATAAGTATGATAGTTACAGCATACAGCAGGAAGGATAGTGGATCTTACATGGCATGAGGTGTCTACATTCCCTTTAACATGGCAAAATAGTAATTCTAAGTACACAGAACAAACAAAACAAAACAAAACAAAACAAAACAAAAAAAAAACAGAAAGAAAACAGAAGCCAAATCACAAAATGACAACCCTAAATTTAACAGTATCAATTATTACATTAAATGTAAATGGCCTAAATACTCTAAGACACGTGTCAAAATAGTTAAAACAAGACCCTGCTACACATTATCTAAAAATTATAATAGATAAAAGTAAAAACAAAGTCATACGGCTCTATTCAGAATCACGAATAAACTAGAAATAATACAAATCTTTTTTCTTCATATTTTTATTTACTTTTTTATAATTTATTAATTTTACATCCCTATTGTAGCCCCCTCCCTCATCTTCTCCTGGTCCCATCCTCCCTCCCTCTTCCCCCTTATCCTCCTCCCCTAGTCCTCAGAAAAGGGGAGGCCTCCTCCCCTACCATCTGAACCCAGCCTATGAAGTCTCATTAGGACTGCCTGCATCCTCGTCCTCTGTGGCCTGGCAAGGCCCCCCGGGGGGTGGGGGGAGTGATCAAAGAGCCGGCATCCTGTCGGAGACAGCCCCTGCTCCCCTTACTAGGGAACCTTACATGGAGACTGAGCTGCCTGAGGCAGGGGGTGAGTTTTCTCCATGCATGGTCCTTGGTTGGTGCATCAGTCTCTGCAGGCCCCCCCCATTACACCAATCGTAAAGGGTGAATGGGTAACTATGGCACAATGTAATAGCCTAGTAATAACAAGAATGCGCACAGATTAAGTTCATTTCTAAGGCATTCATCTGAGCAAAGGAAGTCAGTTTCAGAAGATCCCATTCGTATGACACTGTAGGAAAAGGAAAACTAGAACAGAGAGCGATTACCACCTGTTAGAGATGGGGCAGTATAACGAAGCTTTGCGGGACGGAACTGATGAAATCCTAGTTAGAGATATGACTTCCTACATGTGCTGGAACTCATTCAACCGTACACCAAAGAAGCCTGGTATCAATGTTTTGTTTTGGTTTGGTTTTTTTCGAGACAGGGTTTCTCTGTGTAGTGTGGGCTGTCCCGGATTGGCTTTGTAGACCAGGATGGCCTCGAATTCACAGAGATCCTCCTGCCTCTGCCTCCCGGAGTGCTGGGATCACAGGCGTGCGCCACCGCCTGGCTATTAACTTTTTAAAGTTATGTGTGTGCGTGTGAAAATACGTGCGCTGCTGCCCACAGAGGCAAGAGGCATCCCCTGAACTGGAGTTACAGGCAGTTGTGAGCTGCCGCACGTGGGTGCTGGGAACACAATTCTGGTCCTCTGGAAGAGCAATCTTAACCACTGAGCCATCCATCCCTCGGGGCCCTTACATATTAATTTTTAAAGGTAAAAGTATGTGGCTCATTTCCATCGGCCCTTCAAGACTATGATTTAATGAATAAGAGCAAAAGGAAAACAAGCAAGAACGCCAAATCCTGCTGGCATAAAAGCCACTTCTGAAAATAACTTCCTCATTTACTGCACAAAATATACAGAGCAAAGCCAGTCCTCGGAAACTTCTTCCCAGAAGAGGCCAAGAAAACCGGTCACTCAGATCCAAAATGTGTATATTTGAAAAAATGCCTGTGAATGGCTCTTCTTGTCTGTTCCTATATTTCAGACTTTCCAAGACGCTGCCAATCTCTCCTGGCTGGGTGCCACTCTGGGGTTTACTCAACTTACAAGTGTCCCTTTATGCGTACCTCACGCTCCGGGGTCTCTGGGCAGCCCTAAGGAGGACTCTACAAAAGCAACGGCCTTCGCGGGGAGCCAGCAAGATCCGGGGTGCTCGGCGCCCGCTCACACTAGCCCCGAGGTCTGCGGACGCCGGGCGGGAGGCTGAGACTCCGGGGACCCCGGCGCCCCCGGCGCCCGTCCCGGGCGGGCGCTCCGCAGGCCCCGCGGCGCCCCTGAGAGCGCACCTCCGCCCCGCGCACCGCCCGGAGGCCAGAAGGCCGGGCGAGGAGGCCGCCCGCCGCGATCCCGGCCACCCCTCCCCGCGGGCACCCGCGGACCCGCTCCCCAGGGAGGCGAAGCTCCGGCAGGGCCCACCTTGAGTTGCGACTTGGAGACCTTGCCGCTGCGGTCCAGGTCGAGCGCGGTGAAGGCGTGCCAGATGGCTTTGAGCAGTTCGTCTTTCAAGCCCCCCATGGCCGCGGCCGCGCTGCCCGAACCCAGCCGGCCCGCCCCGTCCGCCCCGTCCGCCTCTGCCTCCAGCAGCCGCTCCACTCGAGACGCCCGCCCGCCGCGCGGTCACCTGACCGCCGAGGCCCCGCCCCGAGGCCGCGCCCCCTCTGCCCCGCCCTCCCCCCCAGCGCCCGCCCCCGGGATGCCCTCTGTCCAGTGCGGGAATGTGAACTCCGCTCCAAGCCCCTCCGGTGGGTTCCGCACCGACTCGGGCCGTCATCAACCCTCGCGTGTGCCCCCAAAGAAACGCCCCCATCCCGGGCAGCACGCGAGCCTGGAGTGACCGGCCTCTGCGGCCGTCCCGCAGTTATTAAAGAAGCCTTGCTGGGACGGCGCCACGGTCTCAAGACGCCAGAGAGCACCCCGAAGGCTGAGGAAAGGGAACCTCTGAGAAAAGCTGGTTCGTGCACTTTGCAAAGCTGTGTTGGTGGCTCTCTGTAGTGGCCTCTGGGAGGCACAACAACAGGTTCTCGTTGGTGGTCTGGTTTGGTTTTTTGAGACAGGGCCCTGGCTGTCCTGGACTTGCTTTGTAGACCAGGCTGGCCTCGAATTCACAGAGGTCCACTGCCTCTGCCTCCCGAGTGCTGGGATTAAAGGCTTGCGCCACCACGCCCGGCTGCAAGAAGTTTTAAGGAGCGATAAGAAGTCAGTGATGGGCTAAGATAGCTCGGTGGACAACGGCCCTTGCTGCCAAACCAGACGGCGCTGAGTCCCGCCTCTTGTACCCACGTGGTAAACCGAGAGCCGCGAGTTGTCTCCTGACTTCCACCGCATGCCCACACGCATAAACACTATTGTGTGAAAAGAAGCTGATCCGCCCAGCAACTTTCTGACTCCAGCAGCAGAGGGGCCTTCACATCTGAGGAAGGGTTCCACAGAGGTGGTGATGCTGTCAGCTGGCGGCTTGGGCTTGCACGGATGGAAATCTCCATCAACCCCAGCAAATCACTCCATCCATTTTATTAATGGGAATGGTTCGCCCACGTAAAAGAAGCTTCCCAGACCTCGCGAAGTGCCCCGTGACTGTAGCTGCTTATTTCCTACCCCTCACCGGTCCTTCACTGGCTACACATTCTCCTGAGAGAAAATGAGCGTGGGATGCCAGATGCCCCAGAAGGCTCTTCCACTGCCTGGGGTGGCGACAGTGACCGTGTAACTTGAATCTGCCAGCAACAGCATTCACAGCGCCTCTTCTGCCCACTACTAAACCCAGGGTAGACTGTGGACAGGATAACTATCAACAGTCAAAGGCAGGAGAGTCTCCCCAGCCAGTGGTGGCACGTGCCCTTAATCCCAGCACTCCTGAGGACAGGCAGGTGGATCTCTATGAGTTCGGGGCTAGCCTGGTCTAGTGAATTCCAGGACAGCCAAGGCTACACAGAGAAACCCTGTCTCAAAATCAAATAATAATAATAAAGCAGGAGATTCTCAGATAAAATGTGTAGTTTATTTTTCCTCTTTACATTTCCCTTGGGCTGAGGGTGAAGCTCAGTTGGTAGAGAGCTTTGGCCTAGCACTCACAAAGCCCTTGCTTAGATTCTTAGCACAACGTAGTGTTAAACCAGGCATGGTGGTACCTGTCTCTAATCCCAGCACTTGGGAATCAGAAGTCCAAGGTCATCCTTAACTACACGCCGAGCTCAGAGCCAGCCAGGACTAAATGAAACCCTGCCTATGAATAAATTAATGAATAAACTTCCTTGATATCCACATATGTCTTGTTTTAAAGGGGCAGGGGAGATAAACAGATTTGGAAAGAGCTGGCAAAAAAAAGAATGAACCCAGTCAATGAGTTTAAGGCCAAAGGGAATCTCATAGAGCTGAAGGTAGAAACAACAAAGGGACCATGATGTCACCTCTTCCTCACATTGATAGCTTTGAGGGTACCACCCCATTTTTTTTACCACAGGTCAGGATTTTTCTTGCCCTCCCAGAATCTGGTTTCTATTGTTTATCTTCTTCAACTCCAGCCCAAGTCACTAGTCAGCAAAACACAAGGTTTAGCCTCTAATTTATTTAATGCCAACTAAGCTTACTCTAAGTAGTAGCTAAAAAGAAAGCCTAAACCAGGCATGGCGATGTACACCTGTACTCAGGAGCAGGAGGTAGAAGGGTGGCTGCACGTTTAAAGCCACTCCAGCCTTCACAGTCTGTCCCAGGCCTACAGAGGAAACTCTGCCTAAGAGAAAAAGAAAATTAAGAAAGCCAGGCAGTGGCACACACCCATGATCCCAGCACTCAGGAGGCAGAGCCAGGCAGATCTCTGTGAGTTCAAGGCCAGCCTGGTCTACAAAGTGAGTCCAGGACAGCCAAGGCTACACAGACAAACCCAACCAAGAAGAAAAAGGAAGAAGAAAAAGAAATCCTAATTCTGAAAGTTCAAGAGGTTAACTCTTTCTCTAAGAATCTAAAAGCACTAAGCATATTTCAAAGCTTTTTTTCCTTTTCTGAGCTTTTCTGAGTTTCCAAGTTCCTACTCCTGTAATTCTCAGCCCTTTTCTTTCAGGTTAGATGGTTGGCTGGTTCTTTCACTTGCTAGTATTCCAAATAAGAACCACCACAGCTTGTTCTTCAATGCCTTTTCAATACAGCCCTGAATGTCATCCATCATCACTTATTCAATGCCTCACTAATTACTCAAGTCCATCCTATTTAATTCAGAGTGACACTTAAAAAAAAAAAACACATAAGATCAGCAGGCCTGAGTCATTTGGGGTTGGCTGGGAAGATGGCTGGTCACCATACAGATGGGGCAGACTCTTAGCTTTCCCATTCTGTCACCTGTGAATAAATATAAAGTTTCATTTTCCTGCTTGTAAAATGGAGTGGAGTACGATTATTTTATCATGTTAAAATAATATGAGGCTTCAATGAAAAGTTAGTGTGACACATACTATCACAATACCAGACAATTGTTGATATTTGGCTCATATAATGGTTTTTATGCTATGGCAATTTAGCCAAACTACAATGTAGTTCCCTAAAATTCCTCCCCCACCCCCTTTCTTAAGACAGTGCTTCACTGTGTAGCTTTAGCCAGGAGGGTACTCCCTATGTAGACAAGGGCCTGACTGGCCTCCAAATCACAGCCCTTTTGCCTGCCTCTGCCTCTGGGTAAAACTGAAAGGATACACCACCACACCCGCCTCCTGAAAAACAAATCTTTATATTTACATGGGTGTGTGCTTTGTGTATGCATGTGTCCAAGGAAGCCATAAGAGGGTATCATGTCTCCCTGAAGCTGGAATTATAGCCAGTGGTAAGCCGCCCAACATGGTACTGAAAACCAAACTCAGATCATCTACAAGCACAGTTCACACTCCTAACCACTGAGCCATCAGCCAAGCCCCATATGGAACACATTTTAAATCCTAGCCCTCGGGAGAATGAAACAAGAAGACCACCAAATTCAGAGCTACATTGTGAGTTTAAGGCCTGTCTGAGCTGTATACAGAGACCTTACCTTAAAACATGGAATGGGTGAGGAAGGTGAGAAGAAATTAAGGAAAAGAAAGAGTAAAGTTGGTATGAGTGTCCTCCCCAAAATTCATATGTTGAAGAGCATATTTGGAGGTGAGGGTTTTTATGAGATAATTCTGATCCAATATGCCTGGTGTCCTCATAAAAAGGAAAAATCTGGACGCAGACATGCACGTGGGCAGAGAACCATGCAAACAGGAAGGCAGACATCAGAGACATACACAACTACATGTCAAGGGACAGTAAGGCTTACGAGCAAACAGCCAGAAGCTGAGTAAGAGACATGGAGTACACCCTTCCTCACCGTCCTTGGACAGAGCCAAGCCCGGCAACAACTTGATATCAGACACTCCCACCTCCCACTACCCACCCACCCAACCCCCCACGTCCACTCCCCCAGCCCCAGCCCTCATCCCCCCAGTCTTCAACAAGAAATCTCTCATTTTTTAATACATCCACTTCTGTGCTTCAAGGTATTCAGTCTGGGATACTTTGTTACAACACCTCTAAACTAGTGCAGTTGGATTAAAGGTGACACCCGTTACAGAGACAGAAAGCTTGGCAACACTGTTGCCTGAAACTACAAAAATTAGAAAGAGGCTGGCCAGATGGCTCAGTGAGTAAAAGCATCAGCCACAAAGCTGGGCAACCAGAGTCTGAATCTTGGGACCCACATGCTAGAAGGCGAAGACCAAATTCAGAAAGTTGTCCTCTGTTGGGCACATACACACTGTGGCACATGCGTGTCCACACACATTGATACAAGCACACAAATAAATGTAATTTTTAAAATTTTAAATAGAAAGGAAACAAGAGGTAGTGTCACACACCTTTAATCCCAGGCCTAGGGAGGCAGAGTGGGCAAATACCTGTGAGTTTGAGGCCGGCATGGTGTATGAGTTAAATGTTAACAGAGTCTGGTATTGTCATTGCTATTGAATCAACACTGAGATGTTGTGTAAAATTACTCCCCAATTATCCCTGATTGGTTAATAAAGAAGCTGAACAGCCTATGACTGGGCAGAGGAGACAGGAGGTGGGACTTTCATTCCCAGTCTGGGGGTTCCAGGTAGAGAAAGAGAGAGGAGAAGAAGAGCTGGGCCATGAGGAGTCATCATGAGGACAAAGATGGAACAGGAGTGGCTGGGGGAGAACAGGTGGCAAATAGCATTGGGCACATGGCTAGAAAAGAGGCCAGGCTAGAAAAGACAGGTTAGAAGAGATGGATATATTCCTAGTTATGGTGCTTGAAGCTTATTAATAAGTATAACAGGTCTCTGTCTCATTTTGTGGAAGCTAGAACAAGTATAGAAAAAAACATCATTCCAACATGGTTCCAGAGGTTATAGGCCTTAGGGTCAACCTATTATTGTTGCCTTGCTAAATGGACATGTTGACAAACTGCCTTTTAAACAGTTATGTTTATACACATAGATGAGTGTTGTTTTACCTTGGCCAGAGAAGCTTTTGTCTGCAGTAGTTGGCAATTAGTGTAGAGTCATAACTAGTCGAAGAACTAAGAGTAAGTAACAGTTGAATGCTCAGAT